GAAAGATTTGACTGAACTCTCTGCTCTCTGGGGTGTGGTGCCTTCCCAGCCCAGAGTCATCATCAACATCGCATCATGCTTTCTCTTCAGGGAAGTTTTCCTGGTCATTTGGGGACCACTTTCGTGCTCTTAAGAAACTTTCTAGTTTATCTGTGGACTTGAAACTACAATCCCACAAAGAAAACAAAACATCTCTAGATCTCTGAGTGAACCCAGTCTGGTTTTTTTTTTTTTTCTTCTGTCTGGGCTCCCTGTTTTTCTTCTTCTTGCCAGTTTTAACCTTCATCTCAGACAGTAGAAACAACAGTCCCCTGTTACCCTGGGAACGGTGGTAAGATAATAGAATTAGGTTGTCCCAGGGCTCCATTTTGGCCTCATGCTTTTGGAAGAAAAAAGGCAACATGATTATGAAATATAATTTGTGATAAATTTATGGCATTTATTGGTAAAAGATATAACATGTCAAATTTTCAGTGACTTAAAAAAATCAGCGACAAGAGTAAGACAGGAAGTGTGTCTCAGGATAAGGATTTCTTTCACATATATTTTCCTGTCAGCTTTGTAGGTTTCTTTTGACATTTTATCTCTTTCATCAATTTAAAAAATAACAACTGAGAAAAATTTATCAGCAGGGTAGATTCTGGGAACATTGCTATTTTTCCTCAATACACTGGAAAATTTGTAAGAATCTTTTACACATTCTGCAGGCATATTCTCATAGGAAAATAAATTGCCACTCTGGGGATTTACATTCCTATACTACCACATTCAGCACTGACATCCTGTTGAAATCCACTGCTGATTTGGAAAGCCGCTTTTAGTTTTCTAGGTTGATGTTTCTAAGACTGTGACTCAATTTCCCTGTTCTCTTTTTCTATCCTGATTCTGGAAAAATCTCTGGGATGAAATCTGGTCTTAATGATACTTAGTAGAATCCCTCAAGTAACTCTGGATCTGATGTAGTATTTTTAATGCTTTGTTCATTACTCTATATTCTTTTTTTTTTTTTTTAATTGTGTTATGTTAGTCACCATACAGTACATCATTAGGTTTTGGGGCAGTGTTCCAAGATTCATTGTTTACATATAATACCCAGTGCTCCATGCAATACATGCCCTCTTTAATACCCGTTACCAGACTAACCCCCCAATCCCCTCCCCTCTAAAACCCTCAGTTTATTTCTCAGAGTCGGCAGTTTCTCATGGTTCCTCTCCTCTCCCCCTCTGATTCCCCCCCACCCTGCTTACTTTTCCTTTCCTTCTCCTAATGTCCTCCATGTTCTTCCTTGTGTTCCACAAGTAGGTGAAACCATATGACAATTCACTTTCTCTGCTTGACTTATTTCACTCAGCATCCTCTCCTCCTGTCCCATCCATGTTGATGCAAAAGTTGGGTATTCATCCTTTCTGATTACTCTTTATTCTTGAGTGCTGTGTTTATTCATTCTGTCCAAACTTCTCTCCATCCCAAAGTGATTGGATTTCCCTTGGATGGTTCCAAGCAGAAGAGAAGTAAACTTCCTGTGTGTAGGATAAACGTATGCACAATTTAATCCATTGATTATATCTTTATTAGGAATTAAGAATATTGAATCCATACACCAGTATCTTGGAGTAATAATACAATGTAGTTAGTTTAAAAATCTTAATACTGTAAGACATATTTATAGACATTTTCCATAGTGACAGTCTGATTGATGAAGAATGTAAAAGAGATTATTTCCCCTCCATGTTTGAAGAATCTTAGTCACAGAATACACAAGAAACTCCTTATTCAAGAGGAATAAGGAGTTTCATGCTTGAGAATGAAGGTTGACCTTATATAAAGTTCCTTGGTGCTAAGTGGGACTTGGGTTCTATAGGCAGAATACACTATTTACTCTCTAGCGTCCAATAATTTGTAACGTAGTATAGAAGGTGCCTTTAATGACACCAACAGCATTATATGACTCAGATATTTTGCCTGAAAAGTAAATAGCCATTATTTCCCACCTCACATATGAACTGGAAGCAGGACAGAAAGAGACGGAAGTAATCATGTCAGTTGTTATTTACCTCTCTCCTAACATGTGAGGTCACTTTGTTCTGACATTAAAATCTAACTTAGCTCATTTCAATTCAGCAAATATTTCTCTGAGCCCTGTTTATTTGCAAAACACTCTACAAGATATAGAGGTGAATCAAAGATGAAAATTAAACTATGAAAGTGGGAAGTAGTTTCTCTGGGGACTCTTTATTGATCTTTCTTCTGTGGTTATGTTAATTTTAGAGACTTTATATAATTGTCCAATGGAAATCCTGGGGTGCAGAGCTGAGTGGCCCAGGATGCTGAGACAGCTATGCCTACTCAGGGTCCATAGTGACAGGATGTAAGCCAGCACCGAAACCTCCTGCCCCCACTATAGCACTTAACATATGGTAAACTCTCAGTCCAGAGATGTAAAGAGTGAACAAGGCTTTGGTAACCGGAGCCCTTCTCCAGGACCTTGGTGAGGACAGACTGATTGAGCCTTGAAGCTCTAGAATCAGGCCAGAAACAGAATGGAATTGCCTTGACCCCCTGTCAGTTAATTACGCTCTCCTGGCTCCATTCTTCTCACTGTGCTCCAAACAGTATGTACTGGCTATTAGCTTGTTTAAGTAACAGATAAGAATTTATGGTAATCATTTGTTGAGCATTATGCTAAACACTTCATATATATCATTCTACTTAATTTTTCCAAACATTCTATGCAGTAGGAACTATTTGACAGATCAGGAAACTGAGATTCAATGTCATTCAGAGGTTGACTGATCCAAGATTCAAACCCCTATGGGTCCATTTTATGGACCCCTAGCTCCCGTTCATAACTAATATATAAATTCAGAAATCCTCCATCTCTCTTGTTGTATAATAAGAAAATAGTCCTGCTTTTAAAGAATACTGTCTTTAATGCACTTAGTTTCTTTTCTGGCTAGAAGTTCTCTCCACTTCAAATTAATAATTGAACTGTGAATTTTGATTTTTAAAGTCATGTTAAGAAGCGTTAAGAAGGGTTCAGTATTCCATATGCTGAAAAGTTTCAGGGACAGTTTATTTTCCCTATTTCACTCATGGTTAGTGAATCTCTTTTCCCTTCCAGTCAGCAGCATAGTTAGAATATAAAAATTGATAGGTTCTCTCCATCCACACAGGAGTTCTGAGAACAGCACTTGGGGAGTGAGTCATGGTTTATTACTTCTCGGTTGACAAGTGTTGCTGGAGAAAAGACGATTACTTTGTTAATGACAGGCAGAGTTTTGCTTTACTTCAATGACCAAGTTTTACTGTTTTCAATACCAAAAAACAAAATAGGAATGTGATAGTTATAAAATAGCAGCAAATGGAGACACGTTATATATATTTACTATGATTCAAGGGATTTTTAAAAATTATGTTCTGAAAGCCAGGGATATGGTTAAAATTACTTCTCACCATGCAATGCTAATCAGACACAGGATAGTATGTGGGGCAATATTTGGAGATAGGATGAGTAAAATAATAATTAAATTTTGGTGTCCTGTTTTTTCTACAAATAAGGAAATAATTAGATATTCTGATTAAAAAATTGACACCAACAAGAAATAAAAAATTGACACCAACAAGAAATACCCAGGTCTAGGTCTAGCTGCTGGGTTATCATTTCTACTGGGAATTGAGCAAGGAAATTTTTTTTTCTTTGAATTGATCATTAATAATATTTTCCAAAGTAGTTCTCGTTTGGCTCATGCAACATTCTGCCCTCTATTTAGCTTCTAGAGTTTATAATTTACTATTTTAAACAAACAGATGACCATTGGTGTTAAATTTATGAGTGTTTGAAATAATTCTACATTGGTAATATGGTTTACAAGTTTTTGTTTCATGTTCTGAGGGGGCTGCATGAATTAAGGAATTGGGTTAAGAAGGAAAGGTCTTGTTAGTTAGGTTAGTTAGTTAGTTAGTTAGTTGGCCCTCTTCAGAAGGGCTTTGCAGAGTAGGAGTCACAGTTGTCTTCAGCCGCTCTGCCTTTATTTAGTTCTTTGAACAAACCTGCTAATATTCGGCCCCAGGGCCTTATGTTACCACGGCTGAGGAACTGCCTCCAACTGCTCCCGCCCACCTCAAACCTTTACAAGATCGATCTCTTCCAGTTTGGGTAGACCCTCATTTAATGTCTCTTTCTCAGAGAGGCTGGCTGAGACTATTTTGTGTAAAGTAGGCTCCCTTCTTTTATCATTTCTTGTTATAGCCACCTCTTTTTCTCTGTAATGCTTATTATAATGTTATTATACCTTTATTTGTTTATTGTATATTATCTACTTTTTTTTTAAAAGATTTTATTTAGGGACGCCTGGGTGGCTCAGTTGGTTGGGCAGCTGCCTTCGGCTCGGGTCATGATCCCAGCGTCCTGGGATCGAGTCCCACATCGGGCTCCTTGCTCATCAGGGAGCCTGCTTCTCCCTCTGCCTCTGCCTACCATTCTGTCTGCCTGTGCTTGCTCTCTCTCCCTCTCTCTCTCTGACAAATAAATAAATAAAATCTTAAAAAAAAAAAAGATTTTATTTATTTATTTATTTGACAGATGGAGATCACAAGTAGGCAGAGAGGGAAGCAGAGAGAGAGAGAGATGGGGGAAGCAGGCTCCCTACCGAGCAGAGAGCCCGGTGTGGGGCTCGATCCTGGGACCCTGGGATCATGACCTGAGCCGAAGGCAGAGACTTTAACCCACTGAGCCACCCAGGCGCCCCATGTTATCTACTTTTTAAAAAAATATATATATTTTATTTTATTTTTTTTCAGTGTTCCAAGATTCATTGTTTATGCACCACACCCAGTGCTCCATGCAATACGTGCCCTCCTTAATAACCACCACCATGCTCACCCATTCCCCCCCCCATTTACTTCCAAAGGCAGGGAACATGCCTGTTGTGTTCAACTGTATAGATCTAGCAACTCTCTAGTATTTTTTAGGTGCTTGATAAATATTGTTAAATGAATAGATGATTGAAAGAGTACATCTGAAGGAAGAGAAGAAGGAACTTCTTTCTGAAGGCAGGTGGCTAACCTGGCAGAGTGAGTAAAATGTAGGGAATAATAAACTGATACGAGGAAAAGGTGGCAAATGGAGTAGTAAGAAGTTGCTGTATTAACACTAAGCAGCTGGGAGCAAAGAGTAAGCAGAATGAGAGTGGAAAGTGTTGAGAATGTGGTTGATGTCTTCTCCTGGAGAGGACTGTTGATTTGGTTATTTCACGGAAATGGGATTATATATTAGCTTAGGATACACTGCATTGAACTCTAGCTATTTTGTTTCAGCAACGTTACCAATGGAAGGCATGGGCATAATTTTACATATCTTTATATTTGCCATAGTGGCTAGCTGTGTCTTATCCTTGGGTGGCATGTAGTAGCAACTTGTGGAATCATTGCCCGAATGGAAGAATAATTGCAAAGTTACCTGCTGAAAAGAGCTTATTATTTTTTTTTATCAGTCTAAGATAAGTATGTGAATTGCAATTATCAAAATGTATTCTCACCGCAGCAGATACCTCCTTATACTTGTGGCAGGCTGGTTTCCAGTTTACCGGACTTTCAGTTCACCCTTGAAAGAGAGATGACTCTCAACTAGTCTCATTTTAAGGTAGTATATAAGTATATAAATAATAGATATGCATACATACACATGTATATAGGTATATATATGCACGCTACATATTTTAACATCTATGTTTAAAATATCACAAACTTTTTAATCATCCTATTGAAATTTTTCTATCCTTCAAGTGTATTTATTGATTGCAATCTTGTGTAGTCCTTGTCTTGCCTTATTCAGGCTAAAATTCATTGTTTCCATCCAGAGGACACATGGTATATATAGACATCGTCACAAACACATTAAGTAATATGTTGCAGATACTCTGTAAGCCTGACTCACTAAGGCAGATATTGTTATCTCCATTCTACTAAGGGGAAAATTGAAAATTTGGGTGATGGAAAGAACATACTCACTGAGGTATGCTGGAATTTGAACCTAGGCTTTTTGACTTCAAAATTCTTCTCATGCTGTAGCACTCTGTCCAAACCAAACATCTAGAAAAAGGGAACAGGAGCAGAATACATAAGGAGTCCAGGGCAAAAAATAATTGGGATGATCAAAGAATTTTGATTTTTTTCTTGATTAGGCTAATATTCATGCCCTCACCACTCACTTTGATGTATTTTAAAGATCTTGACATTTGGCTGTAAAAATGAATTATTTTTTCGCTTCTTCCCCATTAAGTATTTCACTTATGCTCTCTTGTTATGTACTTTGATTATACTCTCTTTTACTTTGCCAAGTTAAATCCTCTTAATATTGTCACTTAGAAATAGTTGATATAGTGCTAGCTCTTTCTCTCTCCCTTCCTTCCCCCCTTCCTCTCTCCCTGCTTATTTTTCGGGATTATATAGAATTCTCTAATATTTGATTCCTAATTCAATTAGCCATGAAGCAGACATTTCTATTTTTCTCCCATCTTTTTCTTCAGTGAGAGTTCTATATGAAGAAAATATTCAGAATGAAAGTCATCAACAGGGCTCAGAGTTGGGAAATTATAATGTTACTGAAATACTGCTTTTCAACTTGACAAAATAAATATTATTGAAAATTAGTAATATGCACTATTGGCACTGGTGAGAGTGCAATAAAGTAAGAACTCATATGCTAGGTGAAGTGTAAATTATACAACTTTTCTTATCTGTAATTGGCAATTTATGTCAAAAGCTTGACATAAAAAAATATTCTTACCTCATCAATTTTACCCAAAGGAATTGACACTAAAGAACTACTTAGGTATATCTACACTGATTTTTGAACAAGAACATTCAGTGCAGCATTATTTTACTGACTATTTTAAATAATTTAAACATCTAGCCATCCAGAAAGAGAAAGAAAATATTGTACAACTATTGGAAGGGCTTTTAATACACACATTAAATTCATGTTTTTCAAAATAAAGATATAGGAAATGACTCGCTATATAATGGTGAATGAAAAAAGCAAGTTGTTAAATATGGTATAATTTTATATATACGAGCACTGACAAACAACCCTTAAATTTCAACCTCCAAGTGCTTAACACAGTAAAGGCTTATTTTTCGCTTATAACATAGTTCAGTGCTGGATGGCAGCGGGTGTGAATTTGTGACTCTGACAAGCTCAGTAAATGGCTTCAGTACTGCTGGGGTCATTCCAGCTAGCAGATGGGGGAGGAAGAGAGAGGTCATGGGCAGGGGACTCTTTCTCTTAACTGCCTCGGTCCACAAATGATGCATTACTTTTGCTCACTTCCCATCAGCAAAAGCTAGGCACTTGTTCCTTCTCCCTTTAAATTGCAAGAGGCTGGGCAATATATAGTCTTGTGACCATCAGAGCATCTCATCTTCATACCCACTGGAAGATATTTCACAAAATTATTATTATTTTTTTAAAGATTTTACTTATTTATTTGACAGACAGAGATCACAAGTAGGCAGAGAGGCAGGCAGAGAGAGAGAGAGAGGGGAAGCAGGCTCCCTGCTGAGCAGAGAGCTCGATGCGGGCCTCGATCCTAGAACCCTGAGATCATGACCTGAGCCAAAGGCAGAGGCTTAACCCACTGAGCCACCCAGGCACCCCCAATATTTCACAAAATTATTAACATCTCTAGTGAGGTTATTTGTTACTTTTCTTTTTTGGTTTGACTTTTATTTTCAGTGCTGTGCTATTATTGTCTGGATTTTCTAAAATAAGTGTAAGTTAAGTTTATATCAGATAAAACTATAAACATTAAAAAAGCTTGAAGTGCAGTATGAGGGCCAGCTGTGTGTCCTCGCTCTGGAGGTTGACAGGTTGGGGCACTCCCCATAGTGTACATTTTAATATGGTCTTGTATCTTAAGAGATTGTTCAGTCACTCGTCCAAGTGTCAGCAAACCCACGAGCACAGTGTTAGGAGGCCGCTTCTGTATGCATGGGTGATTTGGATATAATATTTATTAAGACAGATCACATGGACTGCTTTGCCTGATCTGGCTGGCTTGGAGGATCTTCCATTCTTCCCTGATTATTTCATTAAGTTTCCTTCCAAAACCTTTCCCTCTGTCTGAGAGTATGTTTGCTGCTAGCCAAAGTGGAAAAGTAACAAGGCAGATGTTCTCTCTTTTCATAGTTTGTTAAAAAGTTATTCTTTGGCAAAATCACTTGTGCACGAAGACGTAGGTTGAAATGCATCTTATACAATACTGAAGAAGTCTAATAGATGATTAAAGAACTAGTATTCAAAGCTCCATGTTGGCATGTAGTCCACTGCCCATTTTAATGATCCTTTGCTAACAGGGGAAAGAACAGATGATATAAGCCCTGTGGGAAGGCTATGACTCGTTCCAGCCTAAACATTAGATTCCACATTTTATCTCTGGCCTTCACCCTTGACAGTGAATTGTACAGATCTTTGTCTGCTAACATACTTTTCAACACTCATCACTGGCTTCAAAGTTGGAATCTTTCATTTCCTTGCCCCACACTTATTTTTTGTTTCATTGCATGCCGCTTTCTTGCACTTGTCCTGTTAGAGTCCCCCATAGCTATTTAATATTTAAAGGCTGGGATCATTTGCAGGTTTTAGTTTAAAGGTAACCATAGCACACACAGAGACATTCATTATTAATAGAGGTGCACTGTAAGTCTTAGGACTCTTCTTTCCTTTCGATGTTAGTTTCGTATGGATGCTGCTGTCAGGAGAATGAAGCTCTGATATTGCTATGTGGCAAGTGGACTCGTGCAATCACAGGGATCCAGAATTATGTAAACAGTGTGTGGGGGTGGAAGTGATCATGCTCAAGAGGGACATAAAGCCAGAAAGTGACAGGCCACGGAAAGTCCGGTTTCGGATCGCGTCATCTCACAGCGGGCGGGTGCTGAAGGAGGTGTATGAAGACGGGCAGCCTTCGGGCTCTCTGGATTCCGAATGTGCCAGCATCTGCGGGATAGATGGACTGAGTGAGTCTGATGGACAGCAAAATGGCCACATGGGATCGGAAAGCGATGAGTGTGAGGACGACCAGGATAGCTTGCTGGCGTTAGCAAGGGCTGCCAGTGAGAAGGGTTTTGGAACAAGAAGAGTCAACATTTTAAGCAAAAATGGCACAGTCAGAGGCGTCAAATACAAAGTGAGTGCCGGCCAAGCTCTATTTAACAATTTGGCCAAAGTACTGCAGGTAAGTCGATGCACTTTGCTCCCCCTGGGCTTTGTTCCTAACTCACCCTCTCAGTACCTCTGCCCTCCAGTTGAAAGCAAACCTCTCTTATTCATGACTCCTACATACTTCATGAGTCACTCCCCCATTGAAGATATTGTCTCAACAGCCATCGGTTAAAAATAGGGTCATTATGCTTAGCAAATTAGATGGATTCTCAAAGCCAAATTTCTAACATTTAAGTGGTCTTTTCTTCCAGTGTGCAACGGCTGAAACAATGCATCTGTTTCTTAGCCAATAAGAAAAAAACAAAAACAAAAACAAAGACAGACTATAGTGTTCAAAACATCTGAGCACAATTTGGAAGTTAATTTCTGGTTTATCATCCTCGTTATGGCAGATCAGCATTTATCATCTCTCGTATAGATTTTAAAACAGAGAAGTTGGAGTGCCGCATTCAGCTGCACTCGCTTAAGTTGGAATGATATGAAGTTGTAAAGACGAACTTGAACTTTCTCCTACTGCTCTGGAAGTTGCAGGCTTTTTCTGAGGTGGATTTCTTCATTCATTTGCCCACAAGAACTCTAGAGTGGCACTTGAAGAAGTTATTCCTCTATAATATATATGGAGTGAGATCCAGGTTTTATACTAAAAAACATTAGCCTTTAATATGTGATAGATTCTGCACAGTAATGTAGGAATGTATTATTCAGGTCCTGGGGCCTTTGGCAATGATCTAATGTTTAGACAAATTTTTAAATTGCCCGGAAGCACTGGTAAATGATTTTTGGTTGAAAATAGGCATCATTATTTCAGGAATAGAAGTCATAATCACTATCATTAAGGTAGCAAACCAATATTTTTCATTGTAATACCATTTTATATGATTCTCAATATTTAAATAAAATATCCTTGATGAATTATTCATTGCCTCTGCATTATAGAAGGATACAGTAGTGGTAGGGAGAAAGGATTTTAACCAAAGGTATTTGATTATTTTTCATTTTGAAGGAAGTATTTGGAAGGATCATAACACCAGGATTTTAAAAAAAGAAATCAAAGGGTAAAAACAGTTAAGATCAAAGGTTCTTTTCGTACTTAGAATTTACCCATGAAAGATTTCACTGATTAAGGCTGGAGGTGGGGAACTGATGACTATGTTTGACTAGGTTGGAAAAAATCTTGTATAGATTTCTAGAGACGTGACTATTACGTTGAAATCATCTTGGTGGTGGCTGTGTTTTACCCACTGCAGAAATTATTATTGCCAAGGTATAGACCAAGACTCTATAATAATAAAGTTTAAAAAATGTTTGCATTTATTTTGATTAATTTAGTTTTTAGTTGAATCATGATTTGAATTGCTTTATGATCTGGAGAGTTTTATAAAACTGCTGCACCAATTTTAGAATTTTAATTTGTTCAGATCTCCCTAAAAAACTGATTTATGCATAAATACTTAAAATTTTCAAATCCTACAACAAACAAACAACTTTTCCTCCCTATGGCTTTGTCCTGGTAGAGCTAGAAATCCACCCATAGGAGATAAAGGAAATTCCAAAATCAAATCTTAGTACTAGATTAGTTTACAATAGTTTACTTGTATATTTTCCTTTTTTTTTTTTAAGATCTTATTTATTTATTTGGAGAGAGAGCGAGCGACCACGAACAGGGGGAGAGGCAGAGGGAGAGAGAGAGAGGGAGAAGCAGACTACGCACTGAGTGGGGAGCCCCAACATATGGCTCAATCCTGGGACTCTGAGATCATGACCTGAGCGGAAGGTAGATGCTTGACGGACGGAGCCACCCAGGTGCCCCTACTTGCATATTTTTCTATGCATAATTCCATCACCCCTTTTCTTAAGAAAAAATCCAATAAAACTGTCATTTCCTAATAATTTACCACTACTCCATTTACCCTTGGCTTTCAGAGAACAGTAGTGGTTACTAGCAGAGGCCCCTCAAAGTCTGATATTTAATCATTTTTTTCTAGCTGGCCCTTCGTCTTTATAATGTGGGCAAACTCATCCATTTTGACCATCATCATTAGTTTCATCGTCATCATCACCATCACTGTCACGGACTGTTCTCTGATTTCTCCAGGAGGAAACATAAGTTAACAGAGCACCTACCTTGGATGGGGGCTGCCAGATGCACTATTTTAGGAGACTCCATTCACATGATGTGTAAAGAGCATCTCTTGGGGTGATGCGATGAACCTAGCATTATATAGAGAGCTAACTTGGATGCTTGCTGTTTCCTAAAGGATAGGTATGTCATAAGGAGTGACAAATGTCTTAGGCATATGCCTTAGGGTGACTGACTAGGTTTCCTGCAATGCAGTAGCAGAGAAGCCCCAGGGACGAAAAACAGAAGTTACCATTCAGTTACTCCTATGGCTATGGGACCAGATATGACTTCTCTGGACCTCTGTGTATTTTCTATATCCCTCAGAAAGTAAGCGGCAAACTTAACTGGATATAACTGTAATTTGGCAATTTCTCTCAGGGAGGAAAAAATGAGGAGTGGTATCTTTGATGTATGATTAAGATTTCAATGCACAATCTTATTGAAGAAAGGAAGTATAATTGAAAAAAAAAGGTCTTTCTTCCTGTTTTAAGTTATAAAATCTTAAAGCACTCAACTTGAAACTTGGGGAAACCCCAAATATAAATAAAAGCTTCCAAAGAATCTGTAAATTACTTGGCTTCCTCTCTGTTAGTTTCCCATTCTGTTACTCCTGTCTCATAGAATATTGGCATGTATCTTGCTAAAATTTCAACTGTGCAGAGAGTAGTCTTTGAAATTACTTGCCTCAAACATTTATACACTTCGTTGGCAGTACTTATTTTTTTTTTTTAAGATTTTATTTATGTATTTGTCGGGAAGACAGAGAGAGAACAAGCAGGAGGAGTGGCAGACAGAGGGAGAAGCAGGCTCCCTGCTGGGACTCGATCCCAGGACTCTGGAATCATGACTGAGCTGAAGGCAGTTGCTTAACCAACTGAGATACCCAGGCACCCCTCTTAGTTAGCAGTGTTAATTTAGAAAGTTATCTATAAAAGGGGTAGTAGAACAAATTCCCATTTCACTTTACCCTATAGAATCCTGGGTGATGGAGGATGTGCAAAAGTTTTTGTGGGTAGGAAGGGACCAGAAGGTAAAAAGAAAAGAGTCACTTGGATGCTTAGTGGGCCTTGTAGAGGGTGTGGTTCATTGTTTCATTTGTGAATCACTCAAGGACTCCAGCGGGTCTAGATTATGGCTCTTCAGATAAAGATGCTTGGGTTTCCCATTTCTCCCAGAAACGACAAGAGTATAATGCTCAAGAGAGGCCTGTTTGGAAATCTGAAAACCTGGGTTCTAGTTGTGGCCTGGAATATGCATTTATTAGCCACTGTTTCGGTTGTTTGTGCATACACTAAAGTTTGAGCATCACTGACCTAGCATGTGAAAGGGAAATTCATCTAGTTTACTAGCGTTAATAAAAATATTCCTTAATGTCCTTCATGTCTTTAATATTTAAGGGGGAAAACAAAGAAGTTGTGTGTTGATCTGTTATTTGTTCTTCTGATCATGTTAGATTACCAGGAAAGTCTTTCCTGAGCCAAAGATAAATAAAGATATCCTGACGGACTTGTTTCCTACTGGTATCCTAATTTATCAGTTAATTGGTTTAGAAATGGCTCTTGAAATTAACAGAACATTCTGATGTAGGTGTTCTGTTTTACTTCAAGATATTTTGCTGTAAGGATAATCCTACCCAGATAAATGGTTTTACTCCTCATAACTGGAAAATTTTAGAAAAATTTTTTTATTTTTTTTTTAAAATTAGTTACTTCATGGAAGACAAATTACCAAACCCCTATATAGCTCATAGCTCTCATCCACTCAGAGCACGATTAGATTTGAGATACACCTTGATCTTAGTAGCAACATATTTCCGAAGTTTCTTGGAGTGGGTCAATGATGCAGATAATTAAGGTCATTTGGTTTTTCTAATATTTTCCTCTGGGATTAAATTTCAGATGGTAATTAAGAATCAGTAATCTTGTCTTGACCCTGTCTTCAAACTTGTGTAATCTGCTGTATACTCAGAATCTTTCTCTGTAATTTCTATAATTTTCATCCCCTTTTTTTACACATTTAAAATTATTAGAGAAAAATAGAGGCAAAAAGGAATTTATACCACATACTATAATTTGCTGGCTCCTTTCTAAAAACTCAAACGTATAGCTTTCATCTTTGTATGTACATGAACATTTGTGATTAATGTGCTTATATTTATGAGCATTTTAACATCTCAAGATAAGGAAAATAAAAATAATCATACATTTGCAGAACAATTTGCATATTGCAAAGGTTTTCACATACATTATTTTACTAGATTGTACTGAAGATTGTTGTGAAATAAGCAGGAATATGACTATTATAATACCTGTTTGTTGAAAACTGAGTGTCAGAGAAATTAAGTGTCTGGCCCAAAGCTAAAAACATGAGAATTCTGCCTTTCACTATGTAGGCATAGTTTATCAAAGTACAATGCTATATACAAGAACACTCAACCTCACCTTTTGAAATGTCATAATTACAAATATAAAGATTGATAAGACTAAATCATATTATAACATAGTTATCATAGTTACCAATGTTATGATATGATTTAGTCTTCTGAAACTTCAGTATCTGGTTAGCAGATTTAATTTTTTTTAAAGATTTTATTCACTTATTTGACAGAGAGAGAGAGAGAGATCACAAGTAGGCAGAAAGGCAGGCAGAGAGAAGGGGAAACAGGCTCGCCGCTGAGCAGAGAGCCCGATGCGGGGCTTGATCCCAGGACTCTGGGACCACGACCTGAGCCGAAGACAGAGGCTTAACTGAGCCACCTATAACTATAAAGGCCATGTGGATATTTTGGCACCTACGGTTCAAGAGTTGGCTGCCCTTGAAAAGGAGGCTCAGACATCCTTCCTGCATCTTGGCTACCTTCCTAACCAGCTGTTCCGAACCTTCTGATTTTA